TTTTCCATCTAGAAGGAAAGGCAAACCAGTGGTGGATCTGGTTGAAGAAGGCGTATGGAGAAGTCGCGAGAACTGTGACCTGGACTAGATTCGTTGAGAAAATTTGGGCCCGGTTTGGACTGACCGAAGGGGAAGATTTTGATAAAGTCCTCTCACACATAAAACAAACAGGGCCATTGGGATACTATAAAAGGGAATTTGAGAGGTTGGGAGAAAGTGTACAGGGCTAAACCCAACAGGCTCTCATTTGGATGTTCATGGGCAGACTTAAGCTCGAGATAGTGGACAAAATCCGCATGTTCAATCCTAGTTCGCTGAAGGAGGCCATCAGATTGGCCTACATGAAAGAAGTGTAACTGGGTCATCAGTAAAATCGGTTCGGGTGTAACCTGATATCCAACTCGCCTGGCAACCCATTTTCCCCGATGCAACAAACCCTAGCCCCTGATAGCACACGGCCGAAATGTTGCTCTTGAGGCAAAATGCAACGTCAACGCGCCCAAGGCCTCTGATGCCACAAATGCTGCTGGTCTCAACTGTTGATTCTGGAAGCGAATGATGAAGAAGATGAAATAAAAAAAAGAATAAAATGCATTTGAAATCTCCATCCATGCCATCCCTGGATGGCCGACATCACTCACCATGCGAGTCGTTGCTACCATCAGAGGCCACGAAGTGACAATCCTTATCGACAGCGGCTCCACTTACAATTTCATCAGTGAGCGGGTAGTTGATTTGCTCCGCTTTCCAACCAAACCAACCTCTCCTTTCTCTGTCAAGGTTGCAGACGACCGACCCCTCTAATGTCAAGGACAATTGGAGGACATGCTGATCATGATCCAAGGTACCTCATTTGCACTTCATCTGTATGCTTTGTCTTTCACTGGTTTCGATTTAGTTTTGGGTGTCTAGTGGCTTGAGAAGCTCTAATTAGTGGAATATAACTGGAAGTGGCTCACTATGAGCTTTTAGTGGGATGGTCACAGGCGGACTCTGTGCGGATTAGGCACCCCATCCATCCAGCTTGCTGTTGATTGTGAGATCATCCATGAGATAAACCGGATGCATACTGTGTGCGCCATTTATTGATTAGCAAGGGGTCAATCTGGGGATGACAAAGACACAATTACAAGAATGGAAAATTAACTAGAAATGTTGAAGCTTTTGGCCAACTTTGATGATATATTCCGGATACCCGATCGACTACCACCCACAAGAGAGATTGATCATCGAATTAATTTCAAAAAGGGAACTGAACCGGTCAATGTGATGCCTTACCAATATGCACATTTCAAAAAATTTGAGATTAAAAAACAGGTTAATGACATTTTGCAAGTCGGGTTGGTTCGACCAAGTACTAGCCCCTATTCCTCATCG